AATCTTCCGTTCTATGACCATGGGTGCCATGATATTTGCACATTTGATTAGGATTTCTCTGGGTTAGATCAGTCTATAGAGGGCGGGGCCACCTGGTGTCTTTGATGCGCCCAATGGCCGATACAATAGCTAATGTATCAATGTTGAAGTTGTATTCCGATAGTCGTGGTGCTTCTTTGGGTTCGACATTTCTGTCGAAACCACTCTTACTCATGAGCCCTCGAGAGCTCTATCCTCGATCATTTCTTCTATCAGGCCCGCTGTTTCTCCGATCTCCATCGTATGGCTGATATCGATCTATGTTTGACTGTGGTTCCCAGTCAATATCCCTTTTAACTCTGTTGATGGTCCTGTTTGGATAAACGGACTCGGAAGGAGTCCCCTACTGGTCATCCTCGACCCTAATCTTTGACTGGTACCGATTATGCATGTCGGCCCAGGTTACAGCTGGATATTCAATCAAGTTCTGCTTCAACTATTGTGAGGCTACCGAACTTCGTATGTTTAGGCCTTGAGTGAAAGCCTGAATGGCCTAATCGTCGGCGATTGGGGGCAGATCCATGTGCTCCATTTGGAACCGAGATACGTACTCTCTAAGCATCTCATTTTCTTTTTGTTTTACTTTGAAGAGGTCTGACTTTCTAGTCTCGACCTTTATCGCTCTGGCGTGCGCTTTGACGAAGGAATCTGCGAGCATGGTAAAATAATCAATGTAGTTAGGTGATAAATTATGGTACCATATCATCGCCCCATTTGATAAAGTTTTTCCGAATATCTTTAGCAGTACGGACTCAATCTCATCGTCCTCTAAGTCGTTCCCCTTTATTGCGCATGTGTAAGAAGTGACATGCTCGTTGGGTCGGTAGTTCCATTATACTTGGGAATTTCTGGCATGCAGAATTTTTTCGAAATGGGCTTAGGAGCTGCGCTCGGGGGGAGAGGGGGGGGGGGGGTCTTTTGTACGAACTTCTTTGAATCCAAACCCTTCAACATCGATGGTGCTCCCAAAATTTGATCAACTCGGGAGTCATATGTTTTCACTATTTTGTCATTCGCTTCAATCTTCTTCTTCCCCGATTCAATTCGCTTTGTCAGCTCCTCGAACATTTTCAAGATAGAGGGGTCGGTTCCTGACTCACTCCCATTTGACCTCCCCAGCATTGGTTCGGCCTTGTGAATAATTTTCTATGATGGCTCGGGTTCGACCCTACTCGGTGTGTGGTTCTGATTTTGAAGTTGTGCTATTGCAGCTTGTTGGGCTTGCAACATTTCGAATATTATTCGAAGGCTGATTCCGCCTTATTTGCCACCCTGTGAGTTCTGACCGGCTGATCGAACGCTTCTGCGGATGCTATTTTCGGAGTCGACGCCCAGATTTGCATTCAGGGCAACATGGGAACTGACGTCGATGGGGTCTGCAACTGGTACTCCCTCGAGGTCAACTGGAAACACTTCATTTCCTGGGGAGGCTACATTGTCGTTTTCGCCATGAAAACCAAGGCCGTTGTCGATGTGTGTAGGTACTGCTTGAGAGTTCGACATGCTAATCGTGGAATAAAAATTCAAAAATGCTTTCAAGAACAAGTGTAAAGCAGTGTGCGTTATGAAAATTAGCACCAGGCAATCACTATTGTCCTTAGCCCCACGGTGGGCGCCAAACTGTTTACCCTAAAAACGGATAACAATTGAATTTATATGTGGTTTTAAGGACACATGATTTTACTTAGCACAAACTGATAAAATATGCAAACTGATATTGAAATTGACTGTAAAGAAAAATAAAAGCAAACCAAATGAGATATATAGCTTGGGCCCTCGAACCAAATGAAACAACAAAGGAAATATAAGCAAAGTAACACAGTATCGAGAACATTGAAAAAAGAGTAGTATATTGCTTTTTTACTGTCTGAGACCCCCTTTACAAATGGTTATACCCCTTTATATAGTAGGGGAGTCTTACTCTTTATACAATTCTAAATATAGTAAGGACTCTCATGATAGGCTAATTAATCGTCCTCTTCTTGATACGTGCCATGATTTCCGCCGAGATTCTCCCCCTAATTGCGGTTGTAACGACTTTTTGTTTCTTGGCTCGATCTTGATCCTGGCCGATCTCGATCTTGACCGACCTCGATCTTGATCGGTCTCTGGGTCTCGAGCTCGACAATATATTCTTCGCACTATCGCTCGATATTACAATGATGAGCCTTGAACCATCATGTTCCAATCTCGATTAATCATACGACGGGCAAAACTCGGTTTTGATCGTATACACTATGAATTTCGTATCAAAATATTCATAATCTATAAACTTTAAATCCTGACCCATTTTTGCTTGTATGTATATAAGAGAAACAAAAGGGGTGAAATTTAAAAATAGCCAGATTTACAAGTGGTAATTGAAAAATAGCCACAGTTTCAAAAGTAATCGAAATTTAGCCACTTTTCATGTAAAGATAATCTGAACGAAAATATTGTTCAAAATCCGAAAAATATTCTAGTATAATATACTCGAGTTCAAATTTTTTACATGTGAACTTCCAGCATAATATACTGGAGTTCCAGCATAATATACTGGAGTTCCAGCATGATATGCCGGTCCAACATAATATGCTGGAAGTTCATACTTCATACACAGGTGCTCCAATCTCCAGTATATTATGCTGGAACTTTCCATGTGCTGGAGTTTCAGTATAATATGTTGGAAGTTCATACACAAGTGCACCAATCTCCAGTATATTTTGCTGGAACTTTCCGTGTTGCAGCAAAATAGTGACTACTTTTCAAACACTTTGCAAACGCTGATTATTTTTTAATTACCAGTTTGAAAACTGACTAGTCCGTTATATTTATACAAATAAAAGAGAGCTCCAAATTAATGCAAGAAGGTCGGTGTTGTACGAGGAACAAGCTAAGAATCTCAATTGCTTCAAAGGTGGTTTTGAATGAAATTAAGTTCATTGAATCAAAAGGTCGGTCACATCACTCACGACTCATCCATCCTGCCCACTTTTCACCATATACGCACATAAATTTTATTTTAATTTAATTTAGTACATGAATATTCTTTATATAAATTCTTTTTTCTTTTCTAATAACTTAAGAACACAGTACTGTTATTTCTTTTCTTTATATAAATTTCATTTTTCATGAATTGAAAACTCTTTTTAATGTAGTTGTCGAGATATGTTATAATATAATACTAATGTATTATGTCAACGTGGGCCAAGACTCTGTACTTTTCCTTTATCTCTCACTTGCAGCTATGACCTCAATAGGAATTTTAAAGGATGAAGACCAACATGTAATATAAGAAAGATTGTGTTGTTTGTACTCCTAATTCTAGTCTTAATATAATATTCATTGTTTCCAAATCAAAGGACCAATTATCTTTGATTGCTTAGCTGCTGTTCTACTTCCGAACCAAATATTACCCTGTAATCCCACTTATCTTTTTCAAGTACAATTCTTTGATTTTTATTAATTTCTTTCTAGAAAAGTATATCAATATCTATTGTAGCAAACAATGAAGATAATAAATAAACGGATTTATAAAGTGGGTACTAGGAGCAAATCCCCAATTTTTTTAATAATTTGCACATTTTGTATTGAAATTTGTTTTTTAATGAGAAAATGTTTGTAATTTCTGTTATATAAAAGTAGAGGTTTAAATATATTCTAGCTATAATTACAAAGATACTCCAGTGCAATACAACATTTTTCCCTCTATTGAATTCTTCATTAGCCAATGGGTTTTTAGGTTGAAATGATTAGAAATTATGTTGGAGACTTTTAGGACCCGTTTGTCCATAAATAATTTTATTTTTTTTGAATTCTTTTTCCAAAGATGTGTTTGTTCATGAACTTTTGTAAGTTTTTAAAAAAATTTCGAAATCCACTCACAAAGCTGCAAGATTTTTTCTAGTGAAATGCAATGACCAAATATAATTTCAAATTCCAAATATTATTTTTCAACTTAACTCCAAATACTAAATTTTTTCAAAACTTACAATTTTTATGTCCAAACACCTACTTAAGTTGGAAAGAAACCTGCAGTTTAAGTGGGCGTTTGGACTTAAGAATTGTAAAATTCCAAAAAAAAAGTGAAAATTTTTCAAGTGAAAATGATATTTGAAAATTAGAGTTGTGTTTAGACAAGAATATAATTTTGGGTTGTTTTTGAAGTTTTGTGAGTGAAAATTTTAAAAAATCGCTTTTTGGACTTTTTTATATTTTTGAAAAATTCAAAAATTCATTTTCAAGTGAAAATTAGAAATTTTATGGCTAAACACTGATTTCGAAAAAAAATAAAAATTTCAAAAAAATAAAAAAATTCTTATCTCCAAACGGGCTCTAAATCTATCAATTTGAAGTAAATATTGAATAAAAATAAGTATTTTTTGGTTGGTGGAAAAGACAAGGAGACAAGAAGAAGGGTGGAGGAAGGGGGTAAAGGACTTGGTGATATAGTCCAGGGGTGAAGAACCTTGGACAAAGAGACATCCCCCTATTACCACAAACCTCAACACCTTGTCCCCACTTTATTAAGTAATTCACTGAATCCAACCCCACTTTCTCTACCTCTTCTCTCTAATCTAACATAATTAGACATATAATACCTCATTAGTATCAAACAACCAAAATTTTAAATCAAGAAAACAAATATCCACAACTCATTTCCTTTCATTCTTTTCAATACTGCTACATTTCTTTTTTCACCCTTTCCTCATTCCTCTCCCCTATACCAAATCTTGTGCTTAATTTCCTTGTGTTTCTTTCCTTTCCACCATATCCTTCAGTATACAATTTAACATATAGCTGGTTGAAGAGAAACTACTTGCTGATATAACTCATCAATATATTTACTGGAGGTTTACATTTCTCTGCCCCTTCAAAGAAAGACAAGATTTTGAGGAAATCACAAGATCCAAAATCAAATTTGAAGAGATTGGTTCAAGTCAAAGAAGTACAAGCATCAAACACAAAATTGTATAGATTAATCCGAATTCGCAGCCTTGGAATCTAGCTTGCACATGGAATCATCTGAAGCTAAATTGAGGTCCAACAACGGCTTTATTAATTTGGAACATAAGTATTTCAGCAACATTATGGATTTGAAAAGAGTAAACAACTCTGCTGCTGTCCAAAGAAAGATCAATGTACAAGGAAAGAAGACGGACTATAGCAGTTCATTCAAACAAGAGAATAGCAAAAGAATGTTATCAATGAGTTATTTCAGCTTAGAGTCAGTGCTTCTGCTCCTTTGTCTCACAGCATCTTTGCTACTTCTGCCATTGATTCTTCCACCATTGCCCCCACCACCTTTCTTGTTGCTGCTTCTCCCCATTTTCATACTGCTTCTTCTCATGATCTTAGCATTCATGCCTAATTCTAATGTTCGAAATGTGACACATTCATATTTGTAATGTTGCTTAGAAGAAATCATCACATCACATAGCTCTCTTGCTTTCTTATAGTGATAATACATTTTTTTCATCTCCTTACAAGTAATTTAGACTAGTTTAATTACTCTAGTTTGTAGTTCCTCAATAGTGTGAGGTTTGTGGCACCGTAAAAGAAATATGTAGTAGTGTGATGACCCAATATGTTATCTTTAATTTTAAACATTCATTTCTATATTTTGAGACCTCGAATAGCGCCTTTCAGCATTCCTCGACTTGCGTGTGCAGTATATAAAATTTTATGGAAAGTTTTTATTTGAAAAATTGATTTAAATGTGAAATGGACCTTTAAAACTCATTTGAGTTGACTTTGGTCAACGTTTTGAGCAAACAGACCCAGATTAATATTTTGACAATTCTGGTAGGTATGTATCGCGATTTGGGACTTGGGCGTATGCTTGGAATCAAATTCGGAAGTTCCTAACTCGAATTATCGTCATTTAACGAAAACTAGAAACTTAAAGGCTAAAGATTTTCAAAGTTTGACCGCGGATTTGACTTTATTGATAGCGGGTTCGAAACCCGATTTTGAAAATTGAAATAGCTCTGTTATGTCATTTATGACTTGTGCGCCAAATTTGAAGTCATTCCGGATTAGTTTAACACGTTTCGGTGCGAGTTTTATAAAGTGAAAAGTTTGAAAATCATAAGTCCAAATCGAGGTGTGAATTATAATTTCGATATTATTTGACGTAATTTGAGACCCCGAGTAAGTCCACGTTATGTTACGGGACTTGTTGGTATATTCAGATGGGGGTCCCGATTATCCCGAGTGTGATTCGGATCGAAATCGGATCAAATTTTGGACTTAAGCAAATTCTGAAATTTGCTGCTTCTAGTGTGTTCGCTTCTGCGAAGCCTTGGCCGCAGAAGCGGCTCCGCAAAAGCATGAAGTCCGTCACAGAAGCGAAAAGAGAGGAGCTGGTCAAGAAGCCGCAGAAGCGGAAAACTGGACGCTTCTGCGAGTCCGCAAAAGCAGACATTGCGTTCGCAGAAGCGGAAGGCAGGGCAGATGCGCATTTGGCATCGCAGAAGCGAAAATGCCTCCGCAGATGCGAGGCTTCAGCTAGCCAGTGCTTCTTCGCAAAAGCAACATTTTCAGTCGCAAAAGCAACACTGCAGATGCGGCCATTTCGTCCCAGAAGCGAAAATTGACGCAAACATAAGGGATCGAAAATCAGTCATTTTGCCATTTTTGTTTGAGTTTTAAAACCTCGGGTTTTGGGCGATTTGAAGGAGTTTTTTACGACTTCGGACTGGGTAAGTGTTCCTTATCATATATTGATGATATTTCATAAGCCCATATCTATATTCATCATTTATTTCGGATTTAGATGGAAGAAATTAAAATTTTTGTAAACCTTTCCAAAAACGAAAATTTAGGATTTGAAGGTCCATTTGACATCGATATTTGATAAGTTTTATATGGTTGGACTCGTCCAGGACGCCACGGGGGGCGTCCAAGGGGTCATGGGTCGATGATGGAAAGCAGCCCATGACAGTAATGATGTATAGGCGAGGTGACGAGTGCCTATACGTCGTCAAATTGATTGTTTGCATATTTATCTGAAAATCATAAATTATTTTAAATCATGAATTAATTATTATATTAATTATTTCTCTCATACTTCTTGTCCAATACTCTGTCTTGGATTCATGCTATAATTGTCACATGCTTATTTGAATTATGTGTCTTAATTGCTACTTGACATTTAGTATATTAAATATTAAATTGCCTATTTCTCCCTGATTTCTATAATTAATTGCTACTTGTCATTACTTATTTTTTAAATAAATCATAATTATTGTATGCTTTGTTGCCTAATAATTTCTTATTATATGTGGTATTTATTGGAGTATTTTTACATTTAAGAGTTGTTTAATTATATTGATGGAGCGAGTTGCACGCCGCAACGGATTTATTTTAAGTTAATATTGTTGGAGTGGGTTGCACGCTGCAACAGATTTATTGAAAGTATATATTGTGGGAGCAGGTTGCACGCCGCAATGGAATTAAATTGAAAAATTATATTGTTGGATCGGGTTGTACGCCGCAACAGAATTATTCTAAGTTTATATTGTTGGAGCGGGTTGCACGCCGCAACAGAAATTAATTGAAGGTTTATGACTATTGGATTGACTTCAATTATTGATATGATTTACCGGTCTTACTTCTATTCCTGTTATTATCATTATTATTGCGTACGTGTTAATGTAAGCAATTTGCCTTAGCCTCGTCACTTACAGAGTATATGGGGTCGGTTGTACTTATACTACACTCTGAACTTCTTGTGTAGATACCAGAGTTGGTCCCAGTGGCGTATTGTAGATTTGCTCGGATTCGGCTATCAAAGGAGACTTGAGGTATAGCTGCACAACGTTCGCAGCTCTGAAGTCCCCTTCTACTTTATCTTAATTGTGTGCTTCCTTTTAGACAACTTTATTTTATTTAGACCCTTGTTTGTATTATTCTAGAAGCCCGTGCACTTGTGACTCCAGTTCTGGGATGGTATTTAGATATCGTATTATTTTTTGGTTGCACATTTAAATTCAGATATTATTTCGATTATTGGTTTCTATACTATTTAATTAAGGTGAATTGTTAAAAATAGTTTAAATTATTCTAACGTTGGCTTGCCTAGCAAGTGAAATGTTAGACGTCATCACGGTCCTGAAGGTGAGAATTTCGGATCGTGATAAGTTGGTATCAGAGCACTAGGTTATTTAGGTCTCACCAGTCACGAACAAGCTTAGTAGAGTCTGAAAGATTGGTACAGAGACGTCTGTACTTATCTCTTGGAGGCTATGAAGTTTAGGAACAATATCACTTCTTTCTTATTTTGTCGTGCGATTTTATTCTATCATCGATGATTGAACCTTTCTATTTTTATTTTCTCGCAGATGGAGAGAACACGTAATACATCTACCGACGGACATGGGTCAGATCCCCCGGTGGCAACTATGGCCAGTGGTAGAGGCCGAGGCTGAGGTCGTGCCAGAGGTCGAGGTAGAGGTAGAGGTAGAGCTCAGTCTAGAGCTCAAGCAGCAGCACCTGGTTTGGGGCCTCAGGTGGATTTTGAAGCAGAGGTTCCAGCTCAGACTGTACATGTTGGACCAGTTCAGGTCCCGGAAGGATTCATAGCTACTCCAGTACTTCAGGACGCTCTAGTCCGTTTGATGAGCCTAATGGAGGGTGTGGCCCATAATGGTATATTTCCAGTGGCACCAGCCGTCTCACAGGATGGGGGAGGAGCACAAACTCCCACTACTCCCACTCCAGAGCAGATGGATCCCCAGTATCAGACTCCAGCAGTCCTGCCAGTTAGGATAGTTCAACCAGTTATTGCGGCACAGGTCGGTGATAGACTCGCCATGTCTTCTGAGGCCTTATTGAGATTGGACAAGTTTACTAAGCTCTTTCCAGTTCACTTCAGTGGTACACCTTCTGAGGACCCACATGATTATCTTGACCGCTGCCATTAGGTGCTGCAGAACATGGGAATAGTTGAAAGCAACAGAGTCGATTTTGCTGTGTTTCAGATGACTGGTTCCGCCAAGAGGTGGTGGAGAGATTATGTACTTGCTAGACCAGCGAATTCTCCTGCACTTACTTGGGAGTAGTTCTCACAACTATTTCTGGAGAAGTTTGTTCCTATCACACTGAGAGAGGAATACTGCAGGCAGTTTGAGCGTCTCCAGCAGGGTAGTATGACCGTTACCCAGTATGAGACCCGATTTGTGGACTTAGCACATCATGCCATCGTCTTGCTTCCTACTAAAAAGGAGAGGGTGAAAAGATTCATTGATGGACTCACTTATACTATCAGACTTCAGATGGCCAATGAGAAAAGGAGTGATATTTCCTTCCAGACAACTGTGAATATTGCTAGGCGGATCGAGTTAGTTCATACTTAGGAGAGAGGGCCAGTGTCAGATAAGAGGCCCCGTCATTCCGGTAATTTCAGAGGTGCCTCATCTGGAGGCAGGGATACTTATGGTAGGGATCATCCTTCCAGGCCATTTTATTCAGCACTTCAGGCATCTCACGGTGCTTCAGAGAGTCATGGTCCTATTATGCCTTACTCTGGGCAGCCAACATTTAGTGCACATTCAGCTCCTATCAGTGCACCACAGCTCCAGAGTCATTGCAGCGGTTATCCGGCCCGTTCGGGTCAGCTTCAGCTTTAGCAACCACCACAACAGGATGGGTGTTATGAGTGTGGGAACATTGGTCATATCAGGAGGTATTTCCCTAGGTTGTCGAGCAACAGATCTCAGTAGGATTCTCGTGCCATCATACCGGCACCAGTTGCTCCACCGCCTATCCGGCCAGCTAGGAGCAGGGGTCAGACAGTTAGAGGTGGAGGTCAGGTTGTTAGAGGTGGAGGCCAGCCAGTTAGAGGCCGTCCCAGAGATACAGCTTCGAGTGGTGGGGACCAACCTTTTATGCTTTTTCAGCTAGGCCTGAGGCCGAGTCATCAGATGCCATAATCACATGTATTGTTCCAGTTTTCCATAGAGATGCTTCAGTTTAATTTGATCCAGGATCTACTTATTCATATGTGTCCTTCTACTTTGCTTCATATTTGGTTGTGCCTTATGATTCTCTGAGTGCTTCTGTGTGTGTGTCCACACCGGTGGGAGATTCTATTGTGGTAGATCATGTCTATCGTTCATGTGTGGTTGCTATTGGGAGTCTTGAGACTAGCGTGGATCTTCTACTTCTTGATATGGTAGATTTTGATGTTATCTTAGGAATGGATAGGCTGTCACCTTATCATGCTGTACTGGACTGTCATGCCAAAATGGTGACCTTAGCCATGCCGGGGTTACCTCGAATAGAGTGGAAAAGGATTCCTGGCCATTCCACCAGCAAGGTTATCTCTTATGTGAAAGCTCGTCGTATGGTCGAGAAGGGGTGTCTAGCTTATTTGGCTTATATTCGCGATCCTAGTGTAAATGTTCCTTCTATGGATTCAGTCCCAATTGTCCGTGAGTTTCCAGATGTATTTCCTGCAGATTTGCCGGGGATGCCACCCGATAGAGATATTGAATTCTGTATTGATTAGGCTCCGGGAACCCAGCCCATTTCTATTCCACCATATCGTATGGCCCTGCCAGAACTAAAAGAATTGAAGGAGCAGTTACAAGACTTGCTTGACCAGGGATTCGTTAGACCCAGC